ACTAGCTTTTGTCCTCGACTTCGCTCGCGTGATCTGGTTTTAAGTCCAGAAATGAGAAGACAAGATTGATTACTTGGATAGAGCTATTATAGAGCTGAATCAAAACCTCAAGCTAATATGGGAATGGTCACAGAGCTTTGGCATAACAGTTAACCCTAACAAATGTCAGGCCATCATCATAGGAAGCCCCAGTCTAATTTCCCGGTTGAATCTGAGCGCCGTTCCGTCTGTATCATATAATGGTGTGGTGATCCCCTACACTTCAACTGTAAGAAGCCTAGGGCTTGTCTTGGACCGTACCCTCTCCTGGGAGGGCCATATGGCGAATGTCTCTCGCCGTGTTCATGGGACTCTTGGCGCATTATACCGACTTAAGAATTTTCTCCCGTCCAGTACGAAGACTGCCCTCGTGCAGGCCCTTGTTCATCCCCTTTTTGATTATGCAGATGTTTGTCTCTCTAACATTAATCAAATATTTCTCGATAAGGTGGATCGTCTTCTTAATAACACTATCCGCTTCGTTTTCGGTCTATGTAAAAACGACCACATCTCTGATTTTCGTAACCACCTTAAATGGTTGCCAATACGTGAACGTAGGAAATTAAGAATCGTAAACACCCTCTTTGCAATTCTATACGATCCACGCGCGCCTGAATATCTGAAATCTAGGTTTCAGTACTTGGGTGCTCTCATCAAAAACAACTTCGCTCCAGTTCTAATCTGGTACTCCAGACTCCTTCTCATCATTCTATGTTTGTTTCCAAATCATTTTCTCTTACTGCTATACGGCTGTGCAATGGACGTACGAAATGCTTCGTATAGGTTAGTTTTCAAGAGAAAAGCGCATGAACACTATCTAAAAGGTAACAACTTTTCCTGACTTTCCAATCTGACATGTCGATGTTTATTTTACTGTATGTATTTGTGTGTTTGTATGTGGTGTATTGTCTTAATATATATATATGTATGTATATGTGTCTATATATGTGTATGATTGTTAATTATATCAGAATATTAATTCTCTATCACTGTCACTGCATTACAAATTTTCTGTTTATCCTCTCCGGTTGATTGTTAGAGAATGCCAATGGCATTCCACCATTTGCAGTAATATGGCAATAAAGATTAAATAAATAAATTCCATAAAATCTTTCATCCCCTAATTTACCCCCTTAGGGGTCGAATTTCGTAAAATATCGTCCTACCTAAGTCCTAAAAAGAACCCGCATGCAAAATTTGAAACTCCTAGTATTTGTAGTAAGGAAGTTTCATACAAACTTTCATCCCCTAAATTAGCTCCTTCGGGATGGAATTTTCAAAAATCCTCTCTTAGTGCTCTTCTACACTCCCTAAGGAGTTTTCATTCCAAATTTCAACTTTCTACGCTCAGTAGTTTCGGCTGTAGGTACGTTGTCTGTCAGTCAGTCAGTCACTCAGTAACGCATGAATTTTATATATATAGATAGGAAAGTATATAAAATATAGGACCACGTGGACGAAGCCGCTGGCAGGAAGGTAGAATATTATTGTCACATAGTGTACATACATTTAAATATTTATTTGTGTGTGTATTATTAAAACTAGTAATTAAATATCACTTATTGATTTGTGTCACTATTTATCCGTTTACATTAGTATGTATTTGGGTTATCTATAAACATAACCATTCGACTCGGAACACTTATATGCAACTCTATCTTTCAATAAAATTAAACCAGAAGTAATAATTATGAGACGAATTTGTGAACGATTGGATATTTAACAATATCAATATCCGTTCCTTTATGCTCATGCAACAGAGTGTAATAAACAAGAGATGTATGACGTCAAGACAGTGAGTTCAGTATCTGACAGCAATTTGTGAGACATACTTTTTTGAATAAATTCTTGTTAATATCTTTTAAACTCTACTTTGAAAGCGACATCACAACTAACCTAAATAGTGACAGAAATTGCTCATTTATTCTTACTTCAATAACGGATTAATAATATTGTACGAAAATTAATAATTCCCTGTTTTCCTGGGAATAATATTTTATTTAATTATTTATCTTAAGGCTAAACAGAGCAAATATGAATACAATTGTCGAACCTTATCTGGGCACTGCAAATTAAATAGACACCTATTTAACATAAAACTAAATAACACTGACATTTGGAGATATTGCAAACAGGAAACACCAAAATATCTCCTGTGTGAATGTGGACCACTGATCCACAAACGAAGCATTCACCTGGGACGACATATAATCAGCCCAGAAGATATAAAATCACTAAAGCCAGGGATATTATAAACTTTTTGAAGTCTACCGGGCTAAAGGAGTAACTATAACTCTGGCAGATCTTTAAGGTCGCAGTGACTACAGTTCCTCAGGGAACTGCATAGCCCCTTACAACAATAAGCTTCAGGCTGCGGTGTTAGTGATAAAATTGAACAAATGAACAATAATGAAGGATTTTTAAATCAAATCATTACCTGTGATGAAAAGTTGATTTTCTACGATAATCGGAAGCGCTTATCGCAATGATTGGACCCTGGCATGCCAACCAAATCCTGCCCCAAGCAAAAATTGACCCCAAAAAAGTTACTTGTAAGCGTTTGGTGGACTTGTGCCGGTGTCGTTCATTACAATTTTCTAAAATCTGGCCAGACGATTACGGCAGACGTCTATTGTCAAAAATTGCAAACCATGCTGGAAAATCTAGCTGTTAAACAAGCAAGTCTGGTCAATCGCTCTACGTCACTGCTACTTCACGACCACGCTAGATCACACACTGCACAACAGACGACTAAAGAATTAGAAGAGCTTCAATTGGAATGTCTAAGACATCCACCGGACCTTGCTCCAACAGATTACCATTTTTTTTTCGAAATTTGGATAACTTCTTACAAGGCAAAAAATTCAACTCCGATGGGGCAGTGCAAATCGCCTTCAAAGAATTCAATGATTCCCGTCCGAATGGTTTTTTTTAGTAAGGGGAACAATGAACTACCTATAAAATGGCAAAAGTGCATAGATAACAATAATTTTATTAAATATATATATTTAATATTAAAAAATATTCGACTTTTTGTTCCTCCCATACCCAATACCAATTCCACATGTAAGGACCTAATATTTACTTACTCCTAGATTAATTTGGATTAATATTAAAATGGCAATTTTAACGTAAATTTACTCTGACTCTAAAGCTTGTTTATTAATAGCACTATTAGTGTTTATTAAATTTCTACCATTTTCCATTACTACTTTGAACAATTGCTCACTAAAGTAGACTTTAAAATTATCTGCTATAGTATGCTTGCGAAGTACTCGTATTACGGGGTGCATCTTCTCGGTGGAATGTAGTATTTTACGTTATCGTTAGTATTCAAAAGAACAGAAATAATAAGTTCTTCAAGAAAATTTTCAAATCGCACTGATAAGAGCCATCCTTAACGTCGCAAGATGACTTAATTTCGTGTACTTAATACACGGCTTTGATCGGTGTTGTAAACACTGAGACTCTTTGGCACTTTTCCACCAGTTATTTACAAGTGGATAAGTCATTAACTCATTTTTATAACTAACTGGCCGCTATTATCCAAAAATTTCAATATAAGAATAATATAAAAGCATTAAAGTATTGCCGTATAAACCACCGTCAAGATAATGGTATTGGTTTTGTGACTGCATTAGAATACCAGTTTTAAAATTATTTGTTACCCTCTGGTTGATGATCAAGAAAAGGTGAAAACTAAAGACGAGACAGATAAGATAATGCACTTTTGTTGGAAAAATTTTGATAGCGGTATAAAGTACAAAGCAAAGTACAGATGTATATTTTTAATATTACGTTTGATGTTCCGTTGTTGCCCCGTATTATAATTTTTATTTACTTTACAAAATTAAAATGTTTTAATGTACGAAATTGTTATTTTCGTGATTTCTCTATGAGCATTTTAATTGTTGTTAATTGTTGACTACGTTATTGACTATGTAATTTTATTTAATTTTTCCCTTTTGCCGCATTCTAGTATTATAATTTCTGAACTAAACTTCAGATATATTGATAGATATAACTAAATAAGAAGGGTTTCATATTGACTACGGTATTCTGAAAACTTTCCCGAGCTCTAGACATGCAACGAAATCATGATAAGATGATAATCAATAGAGACATCGATTTAAAAGTTTTTAAGAGAGATTGTTTTTGACGGCGAATTTATTGCTATCGTCAAGCAATGCAAAAGTTTGCTATCGGTCCTTATTACCCTGCGACCTTTGCCAGTTACCGGGGCTTAGATTTTCCGAGAGTTGCCGTGCTTTTCGAGAGGTAAGCCAACCGCGTTTAAACAGCTTCGGCTGGTCCGGTGGTTAGGAAAGTCCTGAGTTCTATCTGTTTAAGCAAGAAAAATCGTAAATGTTTTTATCGTACGTAAAGCTACGATCATTATCGTATTAATTTTGTGCTCACACTTGACCATATTCTAGAATCTATAGAACCTAACCTGACTAAATACAGTAGGTATATTGATCGGAGAAAACTTATTTTGTGTCCATTTTTTTCAAATGAACTAATGTCAAACTATTTAGATAGGATAGGAAGAATGGACGTAAGTAGCTTATCTGCTTTCACAGCAGATCATGTCGTTATCACATCAGTATCAAAAATATTAACTTCATACGTTAATTAATGAGTAGTGTATAAATGTTTCATTGATTAAATAATATGCAAAAGGTATATTAGCAATACAAGAATGTCCAAAACATACATAATTACCAACTTGTTCAAAATACATAAACTACTTTCTGTCTATCAACAGGATAAAATAAAAAACAGTGTTATATTTTCAAAATAATTAAAAGAGGATTAAGAGGCATGTGTCTCTTCTTTACTGATTCATAACAATTAATGTATAATAATTGTGCTACTTTAACTATCACACATACAATTTTGTGATTAAAACAACGGCCATTTTCTTATAATATTGCAAGATATTGACCAAAGTAACTTACATAAAATCCTCCAAATCTATAACGCCTGCGTATTGGCAAGGTTGGCCATCCACGTCGTAACACATGTTGTTGTAATTCCATTGCTCCTGATGGCATGGCAGATTAGGTATAACGGTCTGACGGGCGTATTGAACCGGCGTTTGATATGGTACTTGATGATAATACGACACATGTTCGTATACGTTCCTGTAACAAGGCACTGTTGTTCCAACGTAGTTTTGATTGTAACCACTGAAACATACGTCTGGCGGTTGGACGTTCCATTGTCCAACCACTGGGCACTGTGATCCCCAGCTTGTATCTCCGAACTGCGACGAAACAGGACACTGATTCAGCGGTCTCTCGCCATTCACCAACATTTTGGGAACAACAGTTTCGACGACGAAGACACAGCAAAACAGTCCATCGGGGAACGTAATCAAAAAGCGACTGATAGCACCAGATGTTCTTATCTCCGTCCGTCTGTATTAGTAGTATGCTAGCAAAAACTTGATATAATAACGAATTATTAGATAACAAACACTATACGCAAACGTGGCAAGAATATTTTTTCATAATTTATTATTTAAATTGCATTTAGGAACGGTTTAACTTTACTGTCATTAAAATAGTATATAGTAAGTTAATTCCTTGATGACTAAATTTTATGGCAGATTGTTCGATGTTTGTCCAACGAAAATGTCTACCGCGTCAGATACCGCAGTCCTGTTTAATTTAATATTAAAGTTAATAGGTACTTTATAAAATGATTAATCATTAATTGCTTAAATAATAACTTACATTATCGTAATATGTTCAATATTTTTTAATATAATATAAAAGATGGCATGATTACTATCAACGATTTTAATTAGATTTTTTTTATATTTTAAACTCAAAGAGAAAATGTTAATATGCGGTAGCAAATCATTCATTTCTGTAACTAAAATTATCTAATCAAAATTTATTTAATTCACATTTCAATGATTTCTCATTTAATTAATCAATAACACAAAGTCATAGCGATAACTATTAGATAATTATATTGTTTTAATATGGACATATTCACTTTATATATAACGACATGCTTTTTCATTATCAACGCCATAATCATCAAATGTATTTCCGTTTGATTTTAAGAACATTTTAATTTCGTTCATTTTAAGCGCCTTAATAATGTTTAATTCATATTTTTAACAGCGCCAGACCGTTACTTTATCTGCTAAGTTTATATTGATAACCGTTAATCAATTCAAAGGTGCTTTTTTTGTAGTAGTGTTCATATGTACTCAGGGGGAGCACTAAGGGTCAGGATACAAAGTAGGCTATTGTACCTAATTATTCAAAATACGTCCCCCTGTTTTCACAAACATAGGAGTCGCCCAAGTCCCCTAAATATTTAGGAATCACCTAAGGTAAAAATGCTTTTCACTGTTAACTAAGAACCACCTAACGAAATTATGCAATATCTAAAGTTATGAAATTCGTTATGCGGCGCCTTGCGTATGTGACAGGTAATAAATATGTCAAAGGATAAAACAAAAACAAAAAATATTTGGAATTAAAATAATCTACTAAGTAGTAGTAGTAGTAATATTAGCTGTTTACTAGTTAAGCTATGCCTTGTTTTAGGTTAATGAAAATGGGTGTTACTCCTCTTCTACTTTTTTTTTATAAGTTAGGACAACTTATAAAAAAAAGTAGATCTTCTACCACTACTACTGCAAGTACTACTACTATTATCAATATCATTTGAAAGCATATACCTAGTCTGTTTCTTTCTAATTCTGTTCAAATTGTCACCTTACTTGATTTGGGTACGTGGTTTAATTAATTTTGGAAATATTTTCCGGATACTTACAATAACGATTATTAGACGCGATAGTTTAAAAGTGAATATTGTCCGGGTGATTTATATCTTTATAAGCTTTTTCCTCACTGTCATGCGTGGGCTGATTAAATTTCATGTCATGTCTTGGTTGTGTGTTTTCACCTCAGCGAATTCACTATCGAATTATATGTTGTTAACCTTTTTTTTTATTTCTTTTTATACCGAGGGGAACTGACCTTAACATGCCATCGACCTGGGCGAGAGGCCGACTGAACCCGGGCTCTCCCACTGCAAGGGACGGCGGTCCAGTGCAGTGGGCCTACCGTGCAAAACCCCCCATACTACCCTCTCGCGTGGTCCGGCACCTGGTATCTTAAATATGTTGTTAACCTAACAATTTAATAAATATATTTTTAATCCATAAAAATTAAGGACTTCCATAAATATTTACCAATCCCATATGTTTAATTATTATATTCAAATAAACTGAAACTCAAAAATAAATTAACAGATAACATGGTTGCAAGCTACATAAATATCTAATAAATTTTTTGTGCTATCTCAATCATTGATATTGCCAATCAATCGTCAACATATTCTTATCACATATAACGTCGCTTGCAATTTCCCAAATAAATCCTTTAACATAGTAACAATAATCACGTTATGGTAGGATATGCACTTGTGAGGTGGCCGGGCTCGGGTGGCGCTGCGATCGGAGTTGCGACTAAGGAACGGTGAACCGATGACCGGCTTTGCTTTTGTCGGGCTAGATATCGATGATAATCGGGGCTATCGGGGAGGCGGTTTCAAAAGGGCTTAACCGGGGTGAACTAGTCAAATAACAGAAGGGCCTACCCACTAAAACCTAGAGATGTCCCTCTCTACGCGCTGCCCGTGGATCTTGCGCAGTGTATAAGCAACGCATTTAATATGCAACGTAAAAAAAGTAAAAAAAGTATGCTCGGATTCACATAAAAAACATTTCTGTGTCGTGGAAGATGCACGCTAATATTTCTATCGTAAGTAAATTGAAATTGTGTGTGCGCACTTAATTTGCTGTTGATATTACAGGTCGTTAGGTAATTTCCTTTTTTTTAAACAATAGCAGTTCTAGTTTCTTTTGGCAACTGTAATTTATAACACACTTAAGTATATATAAATGAACAATTTTAATTGTATATTCAGATAGATTTAGCCGGTTTCTGAAATTATTATTTATAACTCAAGTAAGCTTTTTACGTTTTACATGGCAAAAAGTTCTAGTTTTTAACCGACTTCAAAATCGAATGGGCAATATGTTTTTTATGTATGTTCACCGGTATTTTTGTCATTTGTTGACTAATTTTCAATATTCTTTGGTCCCATTTAAATATTATCGAAATCGAATAAGTAGTTTTCCTTTTATAACAAATCAAAATATGCTTTCCAACAGATATCACACTAAAAAAGCTAAAAAAATAAAAGATTGCCTATTTAGAATTAATTCAAAATTAAAAAGGAGGATTTTCTATGTTCAACGAGTATGTATACTTTAATATTTGATGTATATTTTTATGAAAATCATAGATAGTAGGTATCAATGAGTAAGAGTATTACCATGGGTGGCCAACCAGTCGATCGTGGCAATTCAAAAAATATAAATAAAATAAAAATGCTACATAATTGTGTACGAACTATGCTGTTTCATTAAGGATTTTAAGAAGTAAAGTAATTGGTAGATCGTCCTGGGTGTCGTAAGTGAAAAGTCGATCTTGGGTCTAAACAAGTTGGCCACCCCTGGTATATACCATATGCGAGAGAGAGAATGGATCTCAGCTGTGCGGCGTGTTGCTACGCGCGTGTATATAACGATCATAATTACCTGTCTCGCTCGTGCTAGTGTTGAAATTCATTGCTGTCTTACTTGCCCTATTGAAATGCTATCGATAACATGAATTACTGTCTCGCTCAAGCTATTGTTGAAATTTATAGCTTTATCTTGCTTGTAAGCGATTTCTTCCAGAAAATGCTATTGTAAAAAGAAAATACATGGTTGCTTTCCTATTGCGAAAAGAGGGTTTGAAGGATTTAAAAAAGGATAAAATTTTGTATGGAAGTACACGATATTTTGTATTTAGGCAATTGATAAGACAAAATATAAATATTTGTTAATCCGTTTTTGAAATTTTCTATCTAAATGATGACCAATTAGTATAAAAGACCGATTCATCTTTACTATTCGTTTATTTTTTAAAGGACATGCAATCTTATAATGGGCACGCGGGCAGCAAGGCGTCAATTCCGCAAAATTTACTAATTAATCATCTCGATAGAATCTCAACTACTTGCATTTTGCCATTGTACTATCTGTCTAAAGTCCAATATGGAATATCTTCCCCACAAATCAATGGTCTCAAATATATAATTATCCTTTGATCTAGTAACAAAAACTGTGTCATAAGCAGAACCTTACAAGTTACATATTTGATGTAAGCGAACATCTACTATGATTAACTGTAAAAGCTATTTAATGTGAATCATGGTAGTTTGTTTTATACACAATAATTGAGAAGGTATCCTACAAAAAATTTAAATTCGTCTGAAGGGGCCATGCATAACTAACGTCATACAAATATCACTTTTTTGCAAGTTCTATGGAGAGACAGTTCTTTTATCCATCATAATTTAAATGTAATATATTATTCTACGTTACAATAAATGTTCCTATAACATAATTCTCCTAATGATAATGCTTTATTAATTGTTATTAACCGCATGCCTGGTGTAAAACGAGTGTCATAAAAGAGTGTCAAGATGAGGACTTTGACCGTTTACTACACGATCACGTTTGAATAAAATATTCCACTAGGCTTTTTGCTGTTGCTAGATAGAGATAGACGATACAAGTTCTAGACCTGTTAACTGTATGTGGAACAGCATTTTTTTTTATTTCTAAAAAAAAATATTTGGTTAATGAAAAAACAAATTTTATAATTACACTAGTTTTCCATCAGCGCCTTCACTCGCGTGGTCCTGTACTATTACATAAAAATCTTCCTTTTGAATCACCCTATATAAGTAGATTGATAGTTCAATAAGAAGACGAGTAAATATATATTCAAAGATAATATAACTTTTGCATTAAAGGGTTTAGCCGGATACGTATGACGAGTCGGCCCCCAAATGGGAATCGATATTGAAACTTATGTTTTAATATCGACTTGATGTTCAAACACGATTTATGTACTTTTCGCGACCGACTTCCGCTTTGACCTTGAGATAGAGAGCAAAATATCCGTATGCTTGACTATTACTGAATGTGATATATCTCTGAAGCTAATTAAGATAAAGAAGTGAAACTAACGCGAGGTGTTAGGTTACATTACAGAGTATATCACATATATTTTTTTATAATTTTTAGATTAAAAAAACACATTAAAAAAAAAAAAATAAAAAAAAAATGTTTTTTTTTTCTGAGTTCTCTGTGACTTACAATCACGAAATTAATATATGTTATGCTCCTTTGTGTGCTCTATCACCCATAAAAATTGCGTGAAAAAAAAGTTGGTGCAACACAACGAAAAAAAATTATATGTGATTTCTGTCTTATGGTATACCCCTGTATTATAAGG